TATAATAAATATAAAGATTATGGGAGGAAGGATAGGATGAAATGAATAGAACGAAAATATAAAGAATATTGAAGGATAGGATGGTATGAATAGAATGAATAATGAATATGGGAGAAAGCATAAGAGAAGGATAGAATGAAATGAATGAATGAATATATGAAGAATATGGGAGGAAGGATAAGAGAAGGATAGGATGAAATGAATGAATAGAATGAATAAAGAATATGGAAGGAAGGGTAAGATGGAATGAATAATGAATATGGGAAGAAAGATAGGATGGAATAAATACATAAAATGAATAATGAATATGGGAGGAAGCATAAGAGAAGGATAGGATGGAATGAATGAATAGAATGAATAAAGAATATGGGAGGAAGCATAAGAGAAGGGTAGGATGGAATGAATGAATGAATGAATTTATGAAGAATATGGGAGGAAGGATAAGAGAAGGATAGGATGAAATGAATGAATGAATGAATTTATGAAGAATATGGGAGGAAGGATAAAAGAAGGATAAGATGGAATGAATGAATGAATGAATTTATGAAGAATATGGGATGAAGGATTAGAGAAGGGTAGGATGGCATGAATAAGAAGGGAAAAGAAGAAAAGAGAAAGAAACAACAAATACAAGAAAATGCAATTGTCCAAAAAACACATGTTGTAGTGTATACTTGGGTCCATTTCATTTTATAACTTGATTTTCAAGCTACTACCACTGGCAAAACTATTTGCATTAAAGGGACCGTAAGCGTAATTTCAAGCAACCCTCCATTCAAAAATGGCAATGCCCGATTCACAACCTTTGCCTAAATTATACAGTGAAAACCAGAAAGCTCTGGAATAGGATGACGACATTATAGCAATACTTAAGTTTATTTGATATTGCAACAAAGAAAATAGTTTGACTAGTCACTTATTAAATCAATAATTTATTGAAATGGGTCTGTTTACTCTGCCCGATTCCTGTGTATCATGCTAATAGGACTTTTAAAGTTATAACTTGATTCTAAAAGTCGTCTTCCTATTTCAGAGTTTTTTGGTTATCACTGTCTTGTTTTGAAATCTGGGTATTCTCAATTGTGATTTTTCTACAAAAGTTACCTACTCATTTCTACTTCAGGAAACCATATCGGAATTATCTAAATTAAACATTTGTTTAATCTAGAAAACTATTATAATTTCCAAATTATTGATCAGAAAAAGGTTTCAAGGGGACTGTTGCGAATAAGGCATTGCCTCCTTTGCATGGAGGGTCAACAGTCCCTTTAAGAAATATTCAAATACAAAACAGATTACACAAACGTCGTCTTCCTGTTCCACAGTTGTATAGGTCTCCCTAATACCACAATTCATTTTAAAGGAGAGATTGTGTTGAAATATG